GCAAGAGCCGTACGGGGGCCCAAGACGGCTCCTAAACTGCCCACGAGCGGCCCCATGACCGCCCCAAATTGACCCCAAGACGGCCAGCGGAAGGCCCAAGACACACCCAAGACTGTCCAACATGTCATCAAATTGGCCTTGGCCCTCGTCGGATGCCCTGAGGCGACCCGGAAGGTACCTCCAAGACGCGCTCGAACCTGAAAAAAAAACACAATGCTTCAATGGTGCTGTAAGATTTACTACCATTCGTTCCTTCGGCCTGCCGGGCGTCCGAAAACATTGTCAAAGCTCCGAACACCGCTCCAACTAAACCCAAACGCGCCTCCTGATCCCCCAAAGCGGTCCCACGAGGGCCCGGGACGGCCCCCAGACTGCCCATGGGCGGCGCCCTGACGGCCAGAGAGGCCCCAACACGAGCCAAATCAGCATCCTCACTCTTGAGGAAGGCGCCATGAGGGCCCTAGACGACTCCCGAACTGCACACAGGCGGCTCCATGACAGTCCGGGGACCCCATCTGGACGCTCCTCAACAGGGCCACCCAGGAATTCCAGCTCTCCAAAGCGCCTTCTCAACGTGCACCCAAGTGTGCAAACGGGCGAGCGGCAGTCCCAAGACGCCCCGAGGACAGTCCGATGTGGCTCCGAGATGGGCCACAAGGCCCTCACACCGCTGCGGCAGGCCCCCATGTACATCCCTGAGTTCTCGCCCGCTCAGATGGTACTTTAAAATTACGGAGAGCCGCAATTTGCCCACAACCGCAGGTTCGCAACCTTTTTTCTGGACATTCTGATGCGCACCCAGGACTTCAGCAATTTCCATGTACGCCGCTCCGTACGCCCGTGGTCTCCGACTCACAATCTTTGCCCGTCCCAAATTGACTGCCCCCTTCTCCCCTTCCCCGGCTTCTCCGTGGTACGAGCCAGTGAGCACGCCTCAAAGGGAACAGAAGGAAGGCGCGAAAGGCCAACCGATCCAAAGCTCCAAGGAACAAGGTGCATGGTGCGAAGCGCCAATGCAGCCTTTCATATCTATATATATATATATGTATGGTGGAATTCGATGTCAAGTTCAGCTCGGGCACCAAGAAGCTACAGGACAAACTCAAGGGCTTCCAGCGGGCCAGCAAATGCAGCGTGCGCCATCAACCTGGACCCTGGACCAGCGGCCAGCATGCCCGAAGTCAAGGGCTGCGGGCGGGCGCAGGAGGCCTCGAGCCTTCTGGGAAGCTTCCGGAGGCTTCCCGGAAGACGCGGACAGCTTCTTGGGAGGCCAGAGGTCTTCTGAGAAACCCCGCCGCCATCTGACCCAGACATGCGAACTCCCGATTTGTTCCGTACGGGCTTCCTGGGAGTCCCGACCCCTTCCCTGGGATCGTCCCTCTCATCCTGAGCCGTTTTTTGACGGTCCCGAGGTCTGGCGAAGGCCCCCGAGGCCGAAATTGTCCAAAAACCTCCCGTTCTGATCTTTTTACGACGCGATCATATCTATCTGGGGCTTCTCCTCCTCCTCCTCCTCCTCCTCCTCCTCCGCCCTCCTCCTCCTCCTCCTCCTCCTCCTCCTCATTTCTCCTCCTGCCTCCTCCTCCTCCTCCTCCTCCTCCTCCTCCTCCTCCTCCTCCTCCTCCTCCCTCCTCCTCCTCCTAAGTTCCCGCGGAAACTCGCAACAAGAAATATATGCGTGCACGCCCATCGGCAAGATGAGTTGTCGCGCGCGAGTGCTGAGCGCTCGCGCGCGCAAGATCCCTAGACGCCCCCATGGCTGCAAAATGGTTCCACGGGGGCCTGCAACCAAAGGCGGCAACGTCCAGCCGACCCTGGGATGACGCCACCCCAACACGATCCCGCCATGGATTCTGGACCGTCGCAGGCCGACCCGAAAATGACCAAACAATGGGGCCACAGGTGACGCCGAGATGGCCCGATGGCAACAAGATGGATCCACGCGCGCCCAGGGTGGCCCCAGAACGGACACGCGACGGCTGCGCGACCCAAGCATGACCGAGATATGATCTCAAGATGCCCTCAAGGCGACCCTGACGCGCCAAGAATGCTACAGCTTCGGGGCCCAAACTTACTGCGAGCCGATCCTGGCATGGCGGGATCCGTGAACGACCCGGGATATATTTGATTACCCCATTTTTGCTGGGTGGGATTTGAGCCTGGCTGAACTAAAATAATAATAATATAATAATATTAATTCGGATGATACGAATAATAATGATGATACTACTACTACTACTACTACTACTACTACTACTACTACTACTACTACTACTACTACTACTACTACTACTACTACTACTACTACTACTACTACTACTACTACTACTACTACTACTACTACTACTACTACTACTACTACTACTACTACTACTACTACTACTACTACTACTACTAATACTACTAATAATAATAATAATAATGATCATAATAATCATAAAGGGTAATCGTTTAGGCGGGATCCCGCCCGGCCCACCGCAGAAGACTACATTGCCAGGCTTCTAAGGAGGGGGAGAGGGGCTCGGACGGGGCGCCATTCACTCCCGGTGTCCTCCGTGAACCTCCCGACGGCCTTCCGCCGTCTTCCGCCTCGTTTTACTTCCATCGGCTTCCGCGGGCGAGCGATGTGACGAACATCCAAGGAATTTTCATGGGGCCGATGTAGACGCTCGGGGGCAATCTTGTTGGTGCGCCTCGGGGGCGTTTTGAGGTCGCGGGTGGTTGTCGTCGTCGTCGTCGATTCGAGGACCGGGGCTCGGGGAAGGAGCCCAAGCGAAGAAGCAAGCACGTTTGGGAGACGCCTTGGGTTAGCCATCGTCATCGTCGTCGTCGTCTTCGAAAACGGCTGTTCGAAGAATGAGGTTTCTGTAATGCGGACCTTTCGGTTCGTTCGAGGGCCATCCAGTCAGTGGACTATTGGTAGTGAACATTATATGGACAAGTCCGATGGCAGCAGCGACGGAGACGACGGCGATAGCGACGACGACAACGACATCTGGCGGGTTGAGTCGGGGTCCGTCTGGGTCGCTGGGGAGGACTCAGTCGGGGGGCACATGTTGGTACATTCGGGGGTTCATTCGCTGTTCCCTCGGACGCGGCGGGTTTTGCAGGATTCGGATGCCGAGGTGGTACATTCGCGTGCAACCGCCCCTAGTTGTCGGCCTTCTAGACTTGGCCTTCCAGAATTTTATGACGGCGTCCGTCGTTGTCGTCGGTCGTCGTCGTCGGTCTGTCCGTCCGTCATTGTCTTCGTCGTCGTCGTCGTTCGTCGCTGTTGGTCGGTCGGATTGTCGTCGTCAATCGGTCGTCGACCTCGTCGTTCGGTCTTCGTTGGTCGGTCGGTCGGCCGGTCGGTCGTTGATCGTTTCCGCCGTCGTTGTCTGTCGGTCGTCGCCGTCGATCGACGTCGTCGCCGTCGAAGCCCTCGATCGCTCGGTCGGCCAGTCGGTTGGTCGTCGTCGTCGTCGATTGCTCGCTCGGTCGGTCGGTCGGTCGTGATGGTCGTCGTCGTTCGTGGTCGTCGTCGTCAGTCGCTTGGACATTCACTCGGTCGGTCGGTCGGTCGTCGCCGTCGTCGTCGTCATTCGTCGGTCGTCGCCGTCGGTCGTTGTCTAGTCGTTCGGTCGGACGGTCGGTCGGGCGGGCGGTCGTCGTCGTCGTCATTCGTTCGTCATCGTCGGTCGTTGTGCCGATCGGACTCTCGGTCGTCGCCGTGGGTCGTCGCCGTCGGTCGTCGTCAGCGTCGTCGTCGACGCCGTCGCTGCTCGTCACCGCCGTTCGTGACGCCGATCGGACGCTGGGTCGTCGCCGTCGGTCGCTGTCGGTCGTCGTCGTTTTCGTCGTCGTCTGGTCTGGTCGGTCAGTCGGTCTGTCGCTCGTTCGTTCGGTTGGTCGGTCGATTGTCGTCGTTCGTCGTCGTTGTCGGTGTCGTCGTCGTCGGTCGCTCGGTCGGCAGGTCGCTCAGTCGGCAGGTCGCTCGGTCCCAGCCGTCGGTCGGTCGGTCGCACGTCGACAACGACGACGACGGCGACGACCGAAGACGACGGACGACGACGAAGACGACGACGACGACGACCGTCGGCCGGACCGACTCCAGACAACCAGATAAAGTTGGTCAATTTTGAGTCGACCCGAACACACTGAGTCAAATTCCTCACTAGCATTAGGTCGGGCATGTCCCCTTACAGGCGGATTTTGGGCGAAAACAAGGCGTAGTCGACAAATAATCAAAAAGAGCAAAACATAGTCAGAACATCGTCCGCAGACTATGTTTTGACAGTTTTTGGATCTTCCTCCCGCAGAGAGACAGGCCCGACTCAGCACCAGCAACATCGTCCAAGACGTCAGCTCGTTCAACATCGACCGATTCTGGATCGACGTTGAATGCCAGCGGCGGGGTCGCCGCTGGTCGACGCCACGCAAACCTTCCGGACCCTCATCCCAAACCTGCATGGTCTAACCCATCCCCTGGACCAGACTTCCGCTTCGGGCACTGGACACCTGCCAACGCGCCCTGCTGGATGTGCGGCTGGAGTGGTGGTGGCGGCACCGGGTGCCGAGAACCACCACCCCCACCTGCAGCCGAAACGCTGGACCAACACCGCCAACGACTTCTTCCGAGGCGCCGTGGTGTCGTCGCCGGCCGCAGAGCATGAGGCTGTAGCGCCTGTGCAAATTACAACAACGTCCCTGCGGCAAGTGATGCACCGGTGCCTCTGTCCAAGGGCACAGCATTGGAATGCACAGACTTCGTCACGTGCCTCCTCTCGCCCTGCGCTGTGCAGGGAGCCAGCCGCTGAGACCGCACGGAGCCTACTCTGCGCCCTGGTCCGAAACTGCGAGGACGGTAGAGGAGGAGGAGGAGGAGGAGGAGGAGGAATGGGAGGAGGGAGAGGAGGAAGAAGCCGACAACAGCTCATGTGCCGTGGCCCTGTTGTACATCATGGTGCAGGCAAGGTCGGCCGTCCCGAGCACAAGCCAGGCACGAGTCGCTGATTTCGTCAGCGGGTCTTCTCCTTGGTGTCCGCACCGTCTGGTGCCCGCGAGTTTTGGCTGCATAAGTATTTGGTCAAATCCACCTGCAGCTTGTTGAGCTCCTTGAGGTAAGCCAGCCGCTGCTCGTCCTCGTCTGCCATCTGCTTGAGCTTCTTCGCGTGGAGCTGTTCGTTGACCGTGGCGGCAGTCAGATCGTCCTCTTTTCGGCACACCTTCTCGAGCTCGGCTGAAGGCTTCGCCTTGGTCACCGTCACGCTTCTGAGCTCCATAGCGGCCTGCCGTTGCAACTTCTCGGACAGCGCCTCGGTGAAACTGGCGTTGGTGACCGCAGAGCGCACCGTGGTGAGCAATGAGGTGCCTGGCCTTGAAAACTGGACCGTCGCCATAACCTCGAGCACCACAGCCTTCAGCAGACCATCGCACTCTGCGACGGGATCTGCGACCAAGAGCGCCTGCTGCATGCTTGTGATGCGTGCGCGCATCTCGAGGCCGATCAACGCGTGGTGGCCGTTCACATCACTCACGATGAACTCAAGCGCGCGGATAAGCATTCCTTTCGTCGTGAGCACTCGCATGTCCTCGGAGAGGGCACCTGCACCTTTGTCAGTCCAGCAGAACTGGTGGACAGAATCCGTGGGCTCCGGGAAAAAAATGGTTGGGCCAGTCACAACTGTGTGCTCGGTGGAAACAGCGCCTGAAACGGCTCGGCCCTGCCGTTGTTGAGTGCTGACCTCACCCGACACGGAGCCCACTACCACAAGTTGTGACGCTTGGGATCCCTTGTGCAAGACGAGGAGGTGCGATGCGCTCGACGGGATATGGTGTGCCTTTTCGACCGTCACCTTGAGGTGGTGCACCGGATTCTCAAAGAGCTCGGTAGGGCCCCTGATGTGTTCGACAGTCCCGTTCCGCTTCTGAATCTTGAGGTACTCCTCGTCACCCGCCACGTGGTGCTCCAGAAAACGAATGGTGGACCAATAGAGCCTGACCAGCTTGGGGCCTCTCACCTCTCTGTGCTGACCGTTCTGGTCCCAGATGGCACACGCTTCGCCCTCCTTGACGGTCCGCTTGTCGGGCCGGGCGAAAGGGGGGGATAGCAAAGGGGAGGTTTGAGAATCAGCTCACGTAACTGATTTTCCCGGCGCCTCCCGGCGCCGGGAGGCGCCCATGTATCTGTATCGAAGAATGGGCCCCTCGGTGGGGCCGAAACCAACTGCATGCAGCAGATTTCGTAACCCCCCCACTTGCCGTCGCTCGGACGTTAATTTCCCGTGTATTTTTCGGTTTCGTGCGTGTTTTTTTGTTGCTCGATGGTCCAGGAAGGTCCTCGATGGTTCTCGCCGAGAAACAATGCACACGTCCGAGCGATAACAAGCCCTTTCCCTATCCCCCCCTTTCGTCCGGCCCGAGCTTGCCGATGCGCACGAAGCGCACGTAGCCTCTGCCGCGGAAGTCGATGCCCATGGCTGGCCAGCCCGCCACCCGGGGGGGTGCCAGGCACTCTGGGCTCGGAGGCTCGTGGGCCCGAACGGGGGAGCAAAGGAGGTACCACTGCCGCTGCTCCCTGGATCGACTACTCGCTAGAGTGACCTTTGGGTAAGAGTGACCTTTGGTGCGCGGCTTTTGGGGGGCCGCGGGGGACCAAACACGAGCGCGCAAGACGCTACGACCGCATCGCGTTCGGCAATCGGGGGGCCCCATTGGGCCCGCACCAGAGGTCACCCCGGCGAAAGGTCACTCTTACGACTAGTCGACTGGACCTCTCCTGGGGCTTTGGGTTCTGACCAGGACTTCGCGGAACATCTACACGTCGAGCTAGGTATAAACATGAAGTAGGAAGGCGGACATGGTGGATTGGGTCCAGGCCCTCCCAGAGAACAACAAAACAAAGCAAAAGCATGCCGATTCTTGATGTAGGAAGGCGCTTGAAATAGATCGGGATCTGGGAATCCAAAAATACCTACTGTCAACGACCGGCGTGTAGTGGTGGCGGCGAGCGCCTAGGCTAGCGGTCTGGGGACTTGTTCCTCCTCTGTCACACACTTTTGGGCCGAAGTGGCTGGTGATGATGTTTCGCGCAGCCCTCGCCATCGATCGGACGTCCATTCCCCGTGCATGTTTCGATGTCGTGCGTGTGCAGTCGGACCTGGCCAGAAGAACATCCCTCACCAACACGAGACCCTCCGTCGGCCAAAACGAACAGAACATCCAAGAGTACCATCCCCCGGGACGCTCAAGGATACCAAAAGAAACACGACGAACACTAGGGCACCCTCCCCGAACCGACCTCGATCTTATACCTCGGTCCGGCTGATTCTTTTCTGCCGGATGATCCGAGATGCTCCTCGATGGTCCTCGCCAAGGAGTGCAATAGGGACCCGACCACAAAAATCCTTCCGCAAGAAACCCGACCCCCTGAGACCCCAGGACGCCCATTCATTTTTGGGTGTGGGAGCGTGGCGCTCTCCATCGCAAAAAACCAGCGAAGCCCACGAAACCCAAGGC